TCCTCCAACTATTATTCACTTTCTACTCCATATTTTTTGTCCCTTGCAAGCTTAAATTTTCTCTATCATATTATGGCTTTTTATCAAGAAACCGGAGGGGCATGGAGCATCGTGGAAGACGTCTTGTTGTGTGAGTGTTGGGTCCAAATTAGTCATGATCCCATATCGGGTAATAAGATGAAATTCAGTCAAATGTGGAAAAAAATTCATCACGAATTTGTTGAAAGATCGGGTTCCACCCGTACGAAAATGACATTGTCTAGTCGGTGGAAAATTCTCAACAAAGAGTTGGGGAAATGGAGAGATGCCCTCACAAAAGCGATGGATAACAAAGAAGCGGGGAAAATATCAGCGATGAGGTAAATTATTTGTAATTTTCATTTTATTAATTTTAATTTAAATGTTTCTTGCAATTTGTATATTTTGTTAATATTTCTTGTATTTCCATATTTATTTAAATGTTTCTTGCAATGTTTATATTTTGTTAATATTTCTTGTATTTCTAATATTTATTTAAATGTTTTTTGCATTCTCTATATTTTGTTAATATTTCTTGGATTTTCATTAATATGTTTATCTTTTTCGCATTACCAATATTTTTTTTTATGTTCCTTGCATATTCAAATTTTTTTTTATATATAGATTGTGCAAGCTCAAATATTGGGAGGTGGTGAAGCATTGTAAGAGATTTAGTATTATTCCAACGGCTCCACCGGTGGTGTTAAACGAGACGCCACTCCATGATTCACAAGCTTCGGATTCGCCTATGGAATCCCCTATGAGTGAAGACTCACCCATTGAAAGGGAGCCGAGGCCAATTGGGAGGAAGGCGGCGAAGGCAAAGAGAGGAAATAATTGTACCAGTAATGCCTCTAAATTTTTGGAGGAAATTGCAAAGTAAAGCGCCTTGAGAATTGAAATAGACAGGAAAGCCTAAGAAGATGATAGGGCAATGCAAATAGAATTTGCTAAAGAAAGGGAGTATATACTCAAAGAAAGGGAGTATCTACGCAAAGAAAACAAAGACAAGAAGGATTGGGAAACCATGGCCATGGATACAAGCCATATGTCTCCTGAAACAAAACAATTTTGGAAGCTTGAACGAAAGGCTATTATGAGACGAAGACTTTTTCGTGATGATGGACCTAGCAACACGGATTGGTTAAATGATGGAAACCCTTAAGTTAGTTTGCTTGCCTTTTCATTTCATTGTATTTTAATGTTTTGTTTTAAAATTTAATTGTAATTCATGTATTTTATTTTATTAGTAGTATTGGTTTTCTTTGAGTTACCAAAGAAACTATTAAATAAAATTCCTTTTTATTCAAAACATTCCATACATAAAAAACTAACCACAACCAAAGCATTAAAAATATAAAAACAAACAAACCACAACCAAAGCATAAAAAAACCAAACATAACTAAACATAAAATATAAACATTAAAATCTTAAAAAACATCTTCACTTCACTTCATTCACTGTCATTGCTTTTCACCGCCCATAAATGCTCCATTAAGTCAACTTGACGGCATTCATGAATATACGGACAATTGCATCTCCGTGTATCGTTCAATCATACGGTTCATGAAACGACCATCTCTAACCAATGGTTCATGCTCCAATGGTTCTCCATTTGACCCTATGGGTTTTTCATAAATTCTTGTCAAGGCTGTGTTCATGGGATCCGGTTCGTACACCTCTTCAGCCTCGTAATCATACTCATCCTCCACAATCATGTTATGGAGGATGATGCATGTCATCAATATGCTCCTTAACACCTGTTAAGCTCATAATTTCATCCATATACATGCCCTATTTACTTACTTCTTTTGCTTAGTTTCTTAGATTTCTAAGTTATTTGCCTCCCTTTGTGTGTTTTGTAGGCAAATAATTTATGCAATTCAAGCATGTTAAGGCCTAATTTGGATGAATGGATGAAGAGCTTAAAAGACAAACTCATTTTGGCTACAGCCCCCTGCCA